TTCAAATCAAGTATTTCAAAAAGTATTTTAAAATATGTAGCAAACTAAAATAGCTATCAATAAATAAGACTTTTTTGCAGTGTATCGTATGTTGTTTCAGCCAAAGTTGAATATAATTTACTATAAATAAATGCCTTCTTGATGTTAGAAACAGCCCTCCTTGCACTGCTGCAAGAAATCAGATGCTTTGCAATTCATGCTTACCATTCTTCACTTTCTTCAAAAAGATTCTGCAATCTAAAGACATCAATATCATGTTTACTTTTCTATATTGTTTTGAATCTTGCTTGATTAATGCTCTCAATTTAGTCACTGTTCCTAAAAGAATGTTAATTTTTTTTGTTTGAAGAACCTCCTTTTCTTTGTTGCCAGAATGATTTCATTGATTCATCTTTTAACTGAATATATTTTGCCAAAATGTTATGTAATTTTCCTTTGTAGACTTAGCCTTAACAAGATTTTGCTCTTTAAAGCATAGCAAAGATGGAAATCAGATTGTGTGATTAAATTGATCTTTTAATATCAGAGCCTATGTCAGCAGTGATTCATTAGAGCATAATGGTCCAAGGAATTTTTTCAAGTTGAAATGAGAATGATGACTTTATATTCAGTCTTATTTTAGTTATGGTATTCATACAATTCAAAAGGCTTGGTCCTCAAAATGAATCCTCTCCCTTAATCATACACTCGCTGTTTCATACCTATTTTCCCTGCACCATTCAAGAATGGCTACGTTGCTGCCCTTTATTTTTAATTTTTATGGTTCATCATTCTACATTTAAATGCTCTTCTGAATAGATGTTCATTAAAAAGTTTTAATTTTTTGGCAGTTTCACATTCAGTTCGACATCAGATCAAGAGTAGACAGTCTTGAATTGCTTGCAAAAAAATTCTTCCTCTATTTTTTTAATAGATATCGAGGCTGAGACTGCCCTTAATCTAATTTCAATAATAAATTTCCTTTCCAATAAGATACTGACATTAATATGTATGCATTAACCCACAAAATGAATACATTACAGAACTTTCCTTCCGTCTGCAGATAATCTCTCAACTAATTCTTTACTTAATTTTTGGTTGTGGCCTTTGATAAAGGGCGTGTTTGTGTGGCTTTCTTATTTTGCCTCCCCCACTTCTGATCTGCTTCATACGTAGCTTGATGTAGGACACAGCTGCATATTGTTTTGTGGGTTTTAAGGCTATCACTTAAATATTGAGAGTTTAGGAAAAATTTAGGACAATATCCTCACTTGTTTAATTTCCTCCGAATTCTTCCAAACTAAAGCTGTAATGTGATGCCAATGATTAAATTCCAATGCAAAACATTATATATTACTTTTAATTACCATGACATTACCTTTACTAATGCTGCATTTGCAAGCATTTTGAAGATATCCTCTTAGCAACGATACTACCCTTTTATAAGAAAACCTCCTCTCTCAGCTCCTTCCAACCAATATCAATTTTTTGCCAACTTGGTTTTGAAAACAAATTTTTTTTCTTTTTAGAACTTTGAAAAAATGTTAACAATGTAAAAGCCATCTAGGGTGTCGATATTTTGATTTAAATGACTCTTTAATTTCAGACTTTCTTGATAACGTTCTCCAGAACTCTTTTATTCATAAACTGTTTGGTTTCTTTGGTCCTTCAATTCTTCCTTTTAGCTCTGGACTTTGTTCTTTTGGACAAAAGTTCAAAAAACTTCATTTTTTTAAACTTTATTGAAATATTTTTTCAACTACTTCCAATGTTATTTTTCTTGGTTAAAATCCTAGGGCTCACAAAATCCTCTTCAAAGCTTCACCAATGTAGCCAGTTGATGCTATGAAGACCTAGAGACTGGATATGAATAGGATTTGGACTGAAACTTCGTAAAAAGGTTGATGGCTTTGGCAGGTATGTCGGTTGCCGTTCCTTCAAATTCCAAACTTACAAAATTAAATAGCGTGGATCCTTGTGCTTTTATTCTGAAGTGCAGACCTTATATTTTCTTAGGAAAATTTTTATTTTCAAATTAGCATTGTATTTCAAAATAAATTTTTCCTTCTGAATTAAAATCAATTTATGACTTACTATACATTGCTTTGTTGAAAAGTCTCTTACTGCTCTTAGCTTTGTAAAAAAAGTCTCGAAAAACGTTTGTATTTCTGTGTCCTTCCGCATGAATTTTCATTTCTAACTTACTGCTGGTAGCTACGTTGCTGCAGGAAGCTTTGCTTTAGAGTTTCTCTAAAATCCTTCCTTGTTTTTATTTTGTTGCCTGTCAATTTTTATTGTAAAGTTGCTGTAGGGAGCTTTGCTTTAGAGTTTCTCTAAAATCCTTCGTTGTTTTTATTTTCTAGCCTGTCAATTTTTATTGCTACGTTGCTGTAGGGAGCTTTTTTTAGAGTTTCTCTAAAAATCTTTGTTGATTTTATATTCTTACCTATCACTTTCATTGCTACATTGCTGTAAGGAGTGTTGCTTTAGAGTTTCTCTAAAATACTTCGTTGTTTTTATTTTCTGGCCTGTCAATTTTTATTGCTACGTTGCTGCAGGGAACTTTGCTTTAGAGTTTCTCTACAATCCTTCGTTGTTTTTATTTTCTGGCTTGTCAATTTTTGTTACTACTTTGCTGCAGGAAGCTTTGCTTTAGAGTTTCTTTAAAATCCTTCGTTGTTTTTATTTTCTGGCCTGTCAATTGTTATTGCTACGTTTCTGCAGGGAACTTTGCTTTAGAGTTTCTCTAAAATCCTTCCTTGTTTTTATTTTCTGGCCTGTCAAATTTTATTACTACTTTGCTGCAGGGAGCTTTGCTTTAGAGTTTCTTTAAAATCCTTCGTTGTTTTTATTTTCTGGCCTGTCAATTGTTATTGCTACGTTTCTGCAGGGAACTTTGCTTTAGAGTTTCTCTAAAATCCTTCCTTGTTTTTATTTTCTGGCCTGTCAAATTTTATTACTACTTTGCTGCAGGGAACTTTGCTTTAAAGTTTCTCTAAATTCATTCGTTGTTTTTATTTTCTGGCTTGTCAACTTTATTGCTACGTTGCTGTAGGGAGCTTTGCTTTAGAGTTTCTCTAAAAATCTTTGTTGATAATATATTCTTACCTATCACTTTTTATTGCTATATTGCAGTAGGGAGCTTTGCTTTAGAGTTTCCTAAAAATCTTCGTTGATTATATTTTGTTGTCTCTCGATTCCTACTGCTACGTTTATATAGGGAGCTTTGCTTTAGAGTTTCTCTAAAAGCGTTTGTTGATTTTATCTTGTTGTCTCTCAATTCCTATTGCTACGTGGATGTAGGGAGCTTTGCTTTAGAGTTTCTCTAAAAGCCTTCGTTTATTATGTTTGGTTGTCTCTCGATTCCTATTTGCTACGTTGATATAGGGAGCTTTACTTTAGAGTTTCTCGAAAAGCCTTTGTTAGTTTATTTTGTTGTCTCTCAATTCCTATTGCTACGTTGATATAGGGAGCTTTACGTTAGAGTTTCTCTAAAAGCCTTCGTTAGTTTATTTTGTTGTCTCTCTATTCCCATTGCTATGTTGCTGTAGGGAGCTTTACTTTAGAGTTTCTCTAAAAGCCTTCGTTGATTTTATTTTGTTGTTTCTCAATTCCTATTGCTATGTTGATGTAGGGAGCTTTGCTTTAAAGTTTCTCTAAAAGCCTTGGTTTATTTTATTTTGATGCCTCTCAGTTCCTATTGCTACGTTGCTGTAGGGAGCTTTACGTTAGAGTTTCTCTAAAAGCTTTCGTTTATTTTATTTTGTTGTCTCTCGATTCTTATTGCCACGTTGCTGTAGGGAGCTTTAGTTTAGAGTTTCTCTAAAAGCCTTCGTTGATTTTATTTTGTTGTCTCTCAATTCCTATTGCTACGTTGCTGTAGGGAGCTTTGCTTTAGAGTTTCTCTAAAAGCCTTCGTTGATTTTATTTTGTTGTCTCTCAATTCCTATTGCTACGTTGCTGTAGGGAGCTTTACTTTAGAGTTTCTCTAAAAGCCTTCGTTGATTTTATTTTGTTGTCTCTCAATTCCTATTAGTACGTTGCTGTAGGGAGCTTTGCTTTAGAGTTTCTCTAAAAGCCTTCGTTGAGTTTATTTTCTTGCCTGTCAATTTTAAAAGCTAGGATGTTGTGGGAAGCTTTGCTTTAGAGTTTCTTTAAAATACTTTGTTGTTTTCTATTATCTTCTTGGTCAAGTTTTATTGATATGTTGTTTTAGGGAGCTTTTTTAGAGTTTCTCTCAAAACTTACGTGGATTTTATTTTCTTGCCTATCAATTTCTACTGCTACATAGCTGTATGGACCTTTGTTTTGGAGTTTCTTTGAAAGTCTTTGTACAGCACATTAAAATTTTCTTTTACCCTCAGTAAATTATGCTGCATCTTTCTTTGTTTTTTACATTTTATCATTATCAGCATCTTTCATAAAGAGATAAATTTGCACTTTGGCAGTATCCAGGACGGCGTGCAATCTCCTCAAACCCCCAAAAGGATAAAATTTCCGCCTTATTCTATTGACGTAATTATAATGAAACCTTTTGGTACCAAATAGATGCAAGAAATGCATGTATTTTTTTCACCATACTGTAAGCCTTTCTGGGTGGGTTATTAAACGCTCCTAGAAAATATTCCATATTCTCAAGCCTGCGAGTTGCTTTTTTCCATGAGTAGCCTTTCCCTCTTCTATGTTTCCTTCTGTGTAGTAGGAAAAGCACCCTTTAACGCGATATGTTTATCGTGAAACTCCAAATATTTACTTGTTCTATTTCTCTGGGGGTGCTCCCTGCTGACCACCTTCAAACAAAGGTATATCCACAGGATAGTTGGGTCGGGAGATTGCGTAAGAACGCAACTAAATTGATGCCTCTGGGGTATACAACAGATACAACTTGGATGCCATACAAGTCATTGATAAATTACTATCTGAGGCATCAACAAACTGTTTTACAAGCAGGAAATCGCAAATTTTATTAAACTGTCACTAATGATGATTATTTGCAAAATTATCAATGATCAAGGTCGAATAATTATAAATACAACCAATGACAATGATCAAATGACAATGGCTAGTATCAAGTCTGCACAGAAAACCGAAAACGACGTTTTGGATCGAAAATCACTAGAGAGGCGAAACAAAATAGCCAATCACGCGCCAATACTCCTTTTAGGTCATTTTCGATCCACCAAAGAGCTCAATTCCCGGCAAACTTTTCCAATACTATATCAAAACTGATGCATCAAATAAATATTTCATCGCAAAGAGACCGTTGAGATATCATTAGAAAAACTTTCAAACGACTTCTATAAGCTCTTATTGAAGTTGCCAACTTTGGTTACGAATAGATTTGACTGAGTTTGCGAACTTGGTTTTGCTAACGACACAAAAAAGCAAGCAGTCTCTGCAAGCCTCGCTAATTAAAAACAAACCATTATCTTTATAACATCAATTCAGAAAAAAAAATGCTTAAAATTTGTTCTAAAACTCTTCGAATATTTAATGGAAGAAGTATGTGCTTTGAGGGTCGTCTTTGAAGGGGACTCAGCCGCCGTGAACCTAAATTTCGTAAGAGGATTTCCTTCTTTAAAAACAAGTTTCTTTTCTCAGCAGATTTGTATGTAAAACAAACGCTTTTTATGGCTAAAAATTTTCCAGGATTAATTGAAGTAAACGAGATTCTGTTTTGTTTCTTTTAGAATTGTCTTCGTTAAATGTAAGCTATGGAATACCGTAAAAGGCAAAGCACCTCAAAGAAACCAACAACACAGTCACCCTTTAGAACCATGTACGAAGGCACCTCTCTGTATAGCTGTCAATTTTAAGGGATAAGACATTTGAGCTAAAAGTGATATTTTCATCAAATTTTTAGGTGAAATTTCGTTGCTGCAGACACCTAGTGGACGTCACATCAGAAGATGATGTCGATGCACCAGTAGCAAAGAGGCAAACGAAAATGAAGAAAAGTTTTACCAGATGAATCAAGTCTCTATACAGAAATCCAAGACAGACACTTTCCTAGTTTGTAATCGTTTACATCTTTAACAATTTTCCAGCCACAAGACCATTGCAGAGAGTTCCTTTCCATATGGCATGTAAACTTGATTTCTCACGCTCGACCTTGTAACATCTCCCTGTAACTTGTCCAGTCGCCTTTAGCTCCAGAGTGGAATGCCCCCCCCCCTCGCCTTTAAAGCTTATGCGCCGCCTAACTACCGAAAACGTTCGTCCTTACTGCTCTAAATTAAGTAGGATAACTCTGAATGGAAAGCTGCTATTTAGAGCCATTTATTGTCGGGAAACATACAAAGGAGTCCCTAAGTTAACGATAAACACACCCTCTTCGATCGCGAAGAACATACAATGCCTGCCAAAAGTACTTGGAACACCCACCAATTTACGCTGCATTTGATATCTTTCATTCCTTTCATGAAAAAAATTTGCTACTTCCGCCCCCTTCCCCCTCAAACAATGTTGATGATTTAGAGAAATATCATTAAAGAAGCGCAAAAGAAAGTGCTTCCTAAAATCCTAATCCGTTTGATGGTAAACCAACATTGTTCCGTGGGGGAGAGGGGGATGATTGGTTTTGACCTTGGAAATTGATGTCAGTGCTCCAAGACTTTTGGCAGGCATTGTAGGTCAATGCAATATCCAGGGCAATCGCAAAGCAAGCCTTGCTGGGGGGGAGGGGGGTGTGGACAACAAATTTACCTGATGGGAAAACAATTACCTGAAATTCTTAAGTTGCTGAAACAAACTTCTGCAATCAATTTTGCTAATCTAACGGTGTTGCATATAATTCGCAACGCTCATTTTTATATGATAATAACGGACTTTTCTAATAGTTTTGTCAAATCTGTATATTGGGACTGGCATGGATATAACTACCCTAGGCGGCACCATGGCTACCACCGAAGGACTAGAAAATTTTGATCCTTCCTGTTCCCTGGAAATTACACTCTTTTAACCAATTTTTTCTAAAGCAATCCTCTTAATCCTATTGAAAATTGTTTCATTTTTGCAAACAAATTGATCAGCAGAGATATGTAACAAACAGCACTTGTTGTCAATCTAGATCTCTCTTTCCATCTTAGCATGCCTTTTGAATGTTTCAAAAAATTTGGAGCTCATTATGAATTGCAGTTGACGCTTCTACCGCGAAACTTTAAAGGAAATGGACACAAGGCACAATTTTACATAAAGAGGGCTTGATTTTTAGATTTTGTGCCAACAAGAAATCTTGAAATCTTCAAGTCATTAGTTTGTTTACCTTCCTTCATATCAGTTTTTGATCTTAAGACATGACGGTCTGTGAAATTCCTAAAGGGCTCTAAAGCGTTTCTTCCACTGGGCGGACATAACCTGAAATTTACTATCGGGATACTTTTGGGGGGTGTGCCACCCCCCGGTCGCGACGCCACTGGCAATATCAAACCCCTTTCCGACCCCTACCCCTGCATCCATAGTAAATGCATATTCTGGAACTAATCAACACCTTTATTGCCATCTTAAACTCTCCTTTTCAAACGGTGAACGACCAGTGTCTACCTACTGCGAAAAGATGCCCATCTCCATCGGGAGCATTCCCCATCATTGATACATTGTTTATGTCCTCCTTTTAAGTTCGGCCTCGTCAATTGCCACCCTCAACAAGTTAAGAGAGTATTTTGAGATAAAGCTTTAGAAATCGTCTATTGAATTTCTTTTGTTTGAAGTGAGAATCCTTTGAATTGTTGGTTTTTAGGAAAAATAATTTTTACTCGCTCATCGAAAAGGGTATAGTAAACGTCCTTTTGTGGAATGGTAGCATGGATTGAAATAAATATCGCCTATTTTCTGTGTATTTTTCCTGTTTTGCGTTTTAAAGATATTTGATATTCCAGGCGGCCCGGCCCTCACCTCTTAGTGTTTTCACAAAGAGAGGCTTTTGTCTGAAATTGAATGGCCAGTGTTTCAGCTAGAAGTTGCATTATTGGCAAAACCATATACAGTATCAAATTCTAGTTTCGACCATTGGATGCGGGAGATTGCGGCCGTCCTTGTGGTATTTCGTTTTGTCGAATAGGACGGATTTTTGCAAAGTTATTCGACTTTTTCATGGCTGTGAGCAAGGGGGATTCAGGTTTACATAAAGGCGTTCAGAAAAAACAATAGGCTTGTGATTCCCCGAGTTTCTAACGACTTGGGTTTTTAGCGATTTACTCAAAAAGTATCACAGTTACAAGTTTTTGAGTGCATCCATGAGATGGGCCGTTTGATGCTAGATTTTTTGAGCTTTTCCCCGTAATTATAGGACCTGTTTTTGCCGAGTTATTGAGGATTTAGTGATTAAAACACGCAAAAAACGGTTTTTTGCAGTTTAAAAATCGAAAACAGCCGATAAAAATTCTGCAATGCGTTAAAAAAATTGCTGATTTTTTGCTCGATTTTTTGAGCTACTGCTTGTCTTGTTCGAAGCTTGCGTTTCTGAATAAACTTGATTTTTCCAAAAAGTGCACTTTTCAAATTTTCTCAAATTTGCATCGCAGCGACCGATCAAGCTCAAACCGGTAATTGCGGTGGCGGTCGAAACTATTTCTTGAAAAACGGTGTTTAACTGAAATTTAAAAAAAGGAAAAGTCTGTGAACGGGTAAGGAAGCTTCCTAGATTCGATTTAATGCATTTAAAGCCGCATTTCTTGATTTTTTAAAGTTTCGATACGTTTGCCCTCATGTTGCTAGCCGCCCGCCGCCTGATCGGCTTGTTCGTTCAAAAAAGCTTGCAAAACTTGCTGATTTATTTAGTTCTTTTGTTTCTATTCTGGAAAATTCTAGAAAAACATTTGTTTTAAACTGTTAACAAATCAAAAAAGCTCTTTTGCTGCATCTTCGTTGGATCTATCGCCTTGTTCCATGTAAATAGGTGTATGTTGCTGATCGCATACTAGCTTGAATCACGCAATCTCCTTTTGCTGTTTTCTCTAGACATTTTGCTATTTTCTCTAGAAGTTTCTAGCCTTTCCTAATCAATTTACAATCGTTCGTGTATATTTAGTAAGCTGACGTGTATATATTGTATGATTTCAAGTTGCCGGTTGTAAAGCCCATCGACCGAAGTAAGAGGGTCTTTCGTAAGCTGATTTTTAGTTTCTTGCCGGGTTTTTTTCAGGGAAAGAGCTTTTATAGATAGTTGAAGCCAATCTTTTCAATCACCAAAACTCAGTAAAAGTGCAGTGTTTTTTTCTAAAGCTTTCTCACTTTTTCAATTTGATTTACTGATTAAGGGGAGTTCTCCAAAAGCCAAAGTTTAGCTGTCAAAGTTATTGGCCTTGCAGATAAGATATTCTTCTCTCATGTCCAAAAACAAATAAAAAATAACAGTATTGTCTAAAGAACTGTGAAAATCAACCAGTTTTGCGAGCTCTTTTGACCGAACAAGCCGATCAGGCGGCGGGCGGCTAGCAACATGAGGGCAAACGTATCGAAACTTTAAAAAATCAAGAAATGCGGCTTTAAATGCATTAAATCGAATCTAGGAAGCTTCCTTACCCGTTCACAGACTTTTCCTTTTTTTAAATTTCAGTTAAACACCGTTTTTCAAGAAATAGTTTCGACCGCCACCGCAATTACCGGTTTGAGCTTGATCGGTCGCTGCGATGCAAATTTGAGAAAATTTGAAAAGTGCACTTTTCGGAAAAATCAAGTTTATTCAGAAACGCAAGCTTCGAACAAGACAAGCAGTAGCTCAAAAAATCGAGCAAAAAATCAGCAATTTTTTTAACGCATTGCAGAATTTTTATCGGCTGTTTTCGATTTTTAAACTGCAAAAAACCGTTTTTTGCGTGTTTTAATCACTAAATCCTCAATAACTCGGCAAAAACAGGTCCTATAATTACGGGGAAAAGCTCAAAAAATCTAGCATCAAACGGCCCATCTCATGGATGCACTCAAAAACTTGTAACTGTGATACTTTTGGAGTAAATCGCTAAAAACCCAAGTCTTTAGAAACTCGGGGAATCACAAGCCTATTGTTTTTTCTGAACGCCTTTATGTAAACCTGAATCCCCCTTGCTCACAGCCAAGAAAAAGTCGAATAACTTTGCAAAAATTCATCCTATTCGACAAAACGAAATACCACAAGGACGGCCGCAATCTCCCGCATCCAATGGTCGAAACTAGAATTTGATACTGTATATGGTTTTGCCAAAAATGCGACTTTTAGCTGAAACACTGGCCATTCAATTTCAGACAAAAGCCTCTCTTTGTGAAAACACTAAGAGGTGAGGGCCGGGCCGCCTGGAATATCAAATATCTTTAAAACGCAAAACAGGAAAAATACACAGAAAATAGGCAATATTAATCTCAATCCATGCTACCATTCCACAAAAGGACGTTTACTTTACTCTTTTCGACGAGCGAGTTAAAATTATTTTTCCTAAAAACCAACAATTCAAAGGATTCTCACGTCAAACAAAAGAAATTCAATAGACGATTTCTAAAGCTTTTTCTCAAAATACTCTCTTAACTTGTCGAGGGTGGCAGTTGACGAGGCCGAACTTAAAAGGAGGACATAAACAATGTGTCAATGATGGGGAATGCTCCCGACATAGATAGGCATTTGAACACCGCTCGAAAAGGAGAGTCTTGAAGAGTCTGAGGGGACAAGATGCTGAGTAGTTTCAGATTATATATTTACTAAAGATTTAGGGGTGGGGTAGGAGAGGGGCTCGATTTTGCATTGACCTATTTTTCTCGCGATTGAAGTGGTTGTTTCTCGTTAACTTAGGGACTTCTTTCTACATTTCCCGACAATAGATGGCTCCAAACAGCAGCTTTCTATTCAGACTTACCCTTACCCTACTTTATTTTCAGCGTTTAGGCGGCACAAAAGCTTCAAGGGCAAGGGCCTTTACAAAGGCGAATGTGAGAAATCAAGTTTACATGCCATATGGAAAGAAATTTCCTCCAACGTTTCTATGCATGAAAAATCTTTAAAACTTAAAACGATAACAAACTAGGAAAAGTGTCTGTATTGGATTTCTGTATGGAGATTTGGTTCATTCGCTAAACCTTTTCTTCATTTGCGTTTGCCTCTTTGCTACTGATGCATCAACGTCATCTTCTGTGGCGGCGTCCAGTGGATGTCTGCGGCAATCACCTAAAAATTTGATGAAATGTCACTTTTGGCTGAAATGTCCTATCCCTTTAAGTTGACAGATACACAGAGAGGTGCGGTCGTACATGGTTATAAAGAGTGACTTGCTTAGATTTAACGAAGACAATTCTTAAAAGAGCAAAACAGAATCTCGTCTACATCAATCAATCCTGGAAAATTTTTAGCCATAAAAGGAGATTGGTTTACGTACGAATTTGCTGAGGAATGAATTTGTTTTTAAGGTTGCAGTAAACGTTTTCTGGATAAAAGCATCAATTTTTCGATTATTTCACATTGAAGTAGCCGAACTTTCAAGGCACACAATGATACCAAATTTGAAACTAACAGATATTTTAAAATGGAAAAAATCCCATGTAAACGAAGGTTTCCATAATTTCTTAATCGAAACTTTTAATTGAGATCTGAAAATCGCTTGACCTGTTAAGCCGATTATCGTTGCTTTGCGGTTGTGGCCGCATGTCTCATTTACAATATCGCATGGCACATCCATGTATATCGTACAGTTGTGTTTATTTAAACAGGCTTATTGACTTGACCCGGATTACACTGTGGTTTACGGGTGTATCTTGCAAGTGCAATCAGTAAAATCAGCTATTTTGTACCTAAGGAACCAATTGAATGGCTCAACAATTTGCACACGGCCAGGACAAATGTCGGGTAAGCAAAGTTTGCCTCAAAATTTTTGTATTTGCTCTGGTCCGTCTTTTATAGCCAAGTACAGCTATGTGAGGGAAGAAAAATTCACATTGCCAATTGCCAATATTTGAAAGGGCATATTTTCAAGGGAAAGAGTAATTTAAAAAATTTGAGACTCAATTTGGTAGCTTAGGATCTGCGCTTTCTGCTGATATAAGTCAGATTTTATACCCCAAACGCAATGGTACAAAATAGCTTTTGAAGGTGGTACACTCATTTAAGCAATAAATTTGCCTTGAAAGGATCATTCTACATTATTTGCCAATTATTTTAATATGGTTGGGATTACAAAATGCTTGTGCATCGAATGGTGTATAGTTTAATCTGATTCCGTTAATAGTTTGGATTTTAGGGAGAGAATGCCAAATATTGTCTCAAAAACGTTTACCGTAACTTTAAAGAAGGAATTCCTCTTACGAAACTTGGGCTCACGAGTCCCCTTCAAAGGCGCCCCTCCAAGCACATACTTCTTCCATTGAATACTGCAAAAGTTTTTAGTAAGCATTTTGTTGTTCTAAATTTGATGTTATGAAAATCATGGTTTGTTTTAAACAGAAGGGCTTGCGTTTTTTCTGTCGTAAGCAAAACCAAGTTCGCAAA